CTATGATAAAAAAAAGTGCCAGAGTAAAATTCATTCATCATGTTACCATCTAAGACAATGAAACTCCTTTTTAAATTTTAAAACAGTAAGATATTATTTCTCCCTCACTAGTTTAGTCCTAAAAGATGGAATTTGCTTAGCAGAAAAAGATTTTTTTAATTAAAAACTTTTTTGTCCATCTTATCATCAGATTACCTGAAAGAATTCCACAAATGTGTGCTTAACCTGATCACCCTCCTGCCAGATGTGGTTCATTCTGCTTTCTCAGCAACACCACTGACAATTCTATATATTGGCATCAACTGGATGTGTTTCATTTCTTTGTTTAATCAGACTAAAAGATAGTTTTATCATTTTTTCTAAAAAAAACCCAAAACATTTTAACAGAAATTTAAGTATGACACTGAGATCAATTTAAAGGTTTAGTTTTTTTTAGGAAGTGTTTAATAAATCACCAAAGAAGTTTTAACCATATCTCCAAAAATAAGCATGTTCCACATAGGAAGGAATTTACAAATACAGTTTGTTTTTCGGGATCTGCTAGGTCTCAAATGAAAAAGTTAGTAATCTTTTGCCAAGAATCAGCATGGCACATTTTCTTCTATTTCATTTTGTGTTTTTTTTTGGTCCAGTGCTGTTTGTGACTAATTCAGTAATGACATGGGTACACAAATTGTCCTTATTGAGGCACCTGAATATAATTTTAAGTATTTTATCTTGTATTTCAAGTAATGTCTGAATCACATGAGATTATGTTATATTTTGACAAGACTTAAAAAGTTGAATCTGTTTTTTCTGAAGATGTCATACATTATCTTTCCATTATCAGTAGTTTTCAATAGTTGCATTTACCACTCACCTGTAAATTAAAGGGGGAGCCTCTCATGTGGCCAGTGCACTGAACTGATTGAGTCTCGAGATATCTGACGTAAATTTGTCCATCATTTGAGGAAGTCTGCTTGTTTTCTGAGCAAGAAACGTGACTATGAAAAATTTTCAGTGGCATACTGGTGTTAACAGGACTTTGAACAAGTTCTTTCACACGCAGTTTTTCAATACAAAATGGTATTTTTGTTAATTGTTAATGTTGCCACTGACACTTAGGGGAACACGTGCCTAAGACATCTGCAAGGTCAGAGCTGAAAGGTGTGTGGAAGGAAGAAGATACAGCTGTGAAGATATTGTTGGGTAGAACAATATATTTCTCCTATGTATGGCCCCCCCATTCTTGAGCTGTTGTGGGTTTTTTAGAGCTTAGGTGGCACTCAGAAAGCTGATTCTTAGGCATAAATACACAATCTAGCAAGTTTCTCTTAGGTCACTTCATTTTATTGGTGGTAAAAAGGAGGCCATAGATTTTCCTCTGCCATTTCAGGGAAGTGCCAGTGCTGTATTCTCTGAGGTGTGCTTTGCCCATCACCCATCTTACTGGAATACAAACCAGCACTGCAGCAAAAACCTATTGCATTGCAGACTATGCCTGACCTGTTACCATCAGCTCCTGGTGATGCTAACACATTACAAGACTTCTGGAAAGTTCGAGGTTTGGCAAAATAAGGAGGCTTCTGCTGATAATATCTTTTTTTTGGCATATATTAAATACCTTTAAAATATCTCACTGGTATGAAAAAAAAAGGAATATTATTTATCAGCCCTAATGCTTAGGGGGCTGATCATAATGGCTTCAAGCTCAGGATGCTACACTAGATGTGTTTTGACAGAAAAGTGAATAATAAATTGTAGGTCTGTGTGAGTATTTTTTAGTACTTCCACAATGGGGGTAAAATAATTGATATGTTTCTTTTTGGCAGTGAGACTCCTAATGAATCAGACATCTTGACAGAAAGACACTTAGCAAAAATAAACGTAGCTACAACACTTCATTAAAGTAAAAGTATCTTTACTATTAATATACAAATGGTGAAGAGTGACAAATAATTGATATACTTTAAGCCATACTTTCAATGTCTTTCATAAATACAAAACCAGCATCTGCGATATTACTTCTTTTTACAGTATAGAGATATATATATATACACAGCATTTCATAGGGACATAAGATTCTGAAACAATAAACAAACTAGCTCCAGTGGTAGCTAACTTATCAATATATATTTCAGGTGGCATATATCGCAAGTGGGCTGTTGACAACATGTGGAATAACAAAAACAATATATGGTATGCTTTAGCTTGTACTGTACACAGCATACAAATACGTACCGAGTGCTCATTGTAGCAGGAAAGCTTTTTTTTTTTTTTTTTTTTCCTCTTAAAACCTTGTCTAAGTAGTTCAAAACTCTTAGTGAGAACTCTACACCACGAGCAACAAAATTATCTTCTGGGGGGTCCGACTATTTTATGTATTTGTCACTGCTCTGCAGAGACTCTGAGGGTTTGTTTTCCCTTTCCTTCAACCCTGCATTTTAGCTTTTAAAAACTGTAGCCTAATGACATGGTAGAGCTGAAGGATACAGCAGGGTTAATGTTCCCTCTTCTCTGGTTTTCACAGCTCACAGTGCCTTGCCTTTTGGCAACACCCTTCAGCAGCCTCTCCTGCTTCAGTAGCTCCCCGTTTGCCCTGTCAATGCTAAGGAGAGATGCCCCCGGTATCCAAGCCCTGTCTTGGCTCACTCTTTGGCTCCCGTTCTCTCTCTGGAAGTTGCTTTCCTGAACTCTGTTGGCACTGCATCTGGTCATCCCGCCCGCTCCCGATCTCACCTGTGACTTAAAAGCTGCCAATACAAATTTGGCAATAAATATTTATCTCATTTCTCTGGGCTAAAAATGGCCAATATTCAAGTTTGAAAGTCAAACATCATGAGGCTCTCAAAGCCTGTTAAGAGAAAAGATAGACTGCTTAAAGTGTGATTTCTTAGAACCTGATCCAAGGCCAAATTTGTAAGGCTTCTTTTTGGCTCAGGTTCAAATAAATTGATATAAGAACACATCTATATGTGCAGTGGAAATACTTAAAACTTATCACTTAAGATCACTTAAAACTTAGTGAATGGTTTCCCACCACTACTAAAGAACTGCTGTCAAGTGGACAGGCTACTTCAGGAACTGATATGAAAAAATTTGAAAAAAGGGGGTGGATCCTTTTTAAAAAAAGATTTATTTAGCCATGGTAGATTTTCATTGTTCAGAACAATTATCTGAAGCTAAACAAAGGGATTTAAGGAGAACCAGTACTTTGTAAAATGCCTTCATCCTCACCTAAAGAAATGTCGCAATTGCAATCAATTATTTAAAGAGATGTTTTATTTCTGGACACATGGTAAAGTACGGGAAAAAACTGTCATCAGATATTCTATCACCATTTCCTGATCAGTACAAACTCCTGATAGAAAAACCTCCTCTGTGCAAAATGTTAGCAGGAGCCTGGTGGGACATTTAAGTTCCACTTACACCTAGAAGCAACTTGATCAGCTGAGGACATGCAGAGCCTCACTGAGGTGGGTGGATGGATGGATTGAATTCAGGTCCTGCTCAAGTCAGTTTTTATGTTACAGCCCAGCGACACCTTGATTACTCAGCACCCCTCCATGGGTCAATTCATAACAGGGATCTTGAGCTTTTCCAGTAAAAGGCCTTTGTGGAGGTCCTTTAATCAGGAGTGAATATCATCCATCAGACACAACTACGCTACAAAGATGTTACTTCCCAGGACAGCTTACCCAGTGATGGTGAGGCTGCAAATGACTGCAAAACAAATGTTCACTCCAGTTTTACTCCAGAGATGCTCCATCTCAAATTTCAGATTTGAGAAAAGATTTTAATGTTTTAGGTCTAAGCACTTAAATAGAACTAAAGAAACTTTCTGTCTGACTCTTCAACTTGATAAATTGGTCAAAACACCCCCACACATCCACCATGTGCTCCATCTACTTGAAACTTTTCAGCAGTAATACACCCACTATGACCATTCGTGGAATTGTGATCTCAGCTGATTTTTGCAAATTTTGTGTTTAAAATATTTACGTGACTTGACAATAGTATATCCAGTTTAATGTCACGGTAAAGCTGTCAATTATTTTAAACAGGCTTTGTAGACAAATTATTGAAGATTTTTCTTTAATAAAGCAGAGTGGCATGCTATCAAAAAGGCACAAATACATTTCCATTATCTGGTCTAGGAAACAGAAAAAAATGGCATGATGATTATACTACAGTTTGATGATTGGCACTTAAATAAATAATCAAAGTAATTACCATCATAAAAAAGAAAGCCACTTTTTTTTTGGATGAACATCAATGCAGAGGCTGAAGACAGCAGGTGGAATTTACTATACCAGGGACTGTTGTCAAACAGCCTTTGGAGATGACGGTCACTGTGTAACTACGTTGTAAATATCTATGAAGAGATAGAAAGTAGGCCCAATCCTGCAAGTTCTCCTATGAAAGTACGTCCATCTTCCTGCTCATATCCACCCCACTGGTGTCAGTGAGGTGCCATATGAGGGGTGGGTTCAGCCACACAAAATTTCTTGCAAGACTGAGGCCTAAATAAATTAATCCTTGTCACATTAGGCATTAGCATCACCAGGATAGTAAATATTTTTAAAACCACAAAAAAACCTTATAAGTAAAAAAAAAAACAAACAAACAAACAAACAAATAAACCAACAAAACCAAGAAAAACCTCTCCAGGGTACATTCATATACTAATTTGTAAACTATTAATTAAAACTTTGTTACAATTGTGGTAAATCAGAACGGAGGTCTACTAAAAAATTATAACAAGGAGTTCTAAGTAATTTTACTTAATTGTACTCCTTACTTTTTTTTTTTTGTTGTTGAAAAGAGATTGTCACTGCCACATTTCGTATCAGTAATAATTTCAATGGCTCCCTCCCACCCTTGTCCCTGGAGTATGTTAGTGTAACAATTCAGATTACTTTTACAAATAGTTATATTTTGTCAACTCTTCTGACATTTTATACTAACACTTAAAATTACTTTTAGACAGTAAAAGTGACATTTATACAGATATCTGTTGCTCTTTTTTTTTTTTTTTTTTTTAGTCTAGAATAGGAAAAGGAAATAAACAAATGTTGTTATTCCAGTTCTACACATATCTTACAAATTACTATGAGCTGTCCCTCATTTGGAAATACTTTCAAATATCAGTGTTTTTCAGCATTCTTTCATAAAGTTTGGCTTTCTCCTGCACAGCGCAGAGTCAAAGCACAAGGGATTATCTATTAATCCACAGACCAAAAAGGTATGCTTGGACAGTCCATCAGGAAATAGAACTGTTTTATTGTCAGCCCTCACATAGCCCAGCTGGCAAGAGGCATAACAGCAAGAAGAAATTAAATACTCCTGGAAACATCTTTTGATTTGTAAACCAATATAGTGAGAAATGCTTTTACTTCCAATTTTTATATAATTTTGCAGGATATTTTGCTTGTAAAGAGTAGCACAGGTGTATTAGTAATAAATGTACTAAGAGGTCTCTTAAATCTTCTAATCCCTTCACATTGGAATTAGAGGCCATACTTGGGGGGGAAAAAAAAAAGAAAAAGAAAAAAAACCCCACCAATATAGAGATCTTAGGCCATGATTTTTGTTTGTGTGTGTGTTTGTGTAAGTCCAACTAAGAAGTACTAAAACTTGAAATGCATCTGCAGTTGAGCCTGGACAGTGTTATTTCTGCCCATATTGTATAGGCAGCTTCTTGTGCAGCTGATCAGGCTGGCTTCAGGAAAAGCACCATTTGCCTAGGGAGGATTGACCCACGTGGATATGCATGGTACCACCTTACTTTGTGATAGCTGGTAGGAGAGCAAGGATGTCTCCTCCCTTTGTCCTCACCGTGGTAAAAATATTGTGTGAGAGGATGTTCAGCCACACCAACCACATTGTTCTCAACTGCTGGAATTCCCCAGGTCCCTTCCTTGCATTTTGCTAGAGCAAATACATACTTTGTAGAAAGAATATGTATTTATATATATATATATATATATCAGTAAGACAACTGGTTCTCCTAAGTATAGGTTAGGGGGCAGTTCAGCTCACTGTGCACTCAGAAAGAAATAAAACAGAAATTTGACAAGCAGCTATTTGGTGGTACTGCCTGCTCAGGATGTGGGAACAACAGTGAGAGGTCATAAGGGAATGTCTTCATCTTTTCTTCACCCAGAATTAGTGCCTTAGGATTAAGAGAAACTTCTTTACAGCAGTTTTGAATTATTATCTTCCATGACTTTCATCCCACATTGCTATCCCCTCTTACCCATTCTTTTCACTTTGGTACTAGTTTTGTAAGAGCTTGACTTCTTGTCCTAACCACACCAGTGTTATGCCTCTGTCCTCAACAACTTCATTGCAGGTATTTCCCAAAGTGAGGAAAAGTTGTAAAAAGCCCCCATAAAATACCTGGTTTTGAAAAAAAAAAAAAAAAAAAGAAAGATCTAAGAGCTAAATATATCCTCCTCAGCTCTTTCAAATGCACTTAAGCTTGGGTTAACAAGAAGGGTATTGTGACATTTTCCTCAAATTTAAGGACACCATTTTGCAATTCACTTTCAGTTTTACTACACAAAAGACAACCAGTGTAAGAACTTCAAATATGAGCAAAATTCAGATATAGCATGGACACAAAACAATTTGCTGAGGAAAGCTACACTTAAATCTCAGGCATGACTTAGGTGTGGAAAATCCACCAAGTACTCTACCATTTACTCCTGACAAGTAGAATTTTTCAATCTAGTTTTCTATATGGTTTTTTACTTCTTTCAAAGCAAGACTTTGAAGACTTTGGTAGATGTGGATACATTATGCTGGAATGGAAACGAACTATATTGTTGCAATTAGTGGCATAATTAAATCAATGATACTAAATATGAATGAATTTTGCATCAAATAAATCTGTCAAATTTCAAAGTGGGCCATGTTGACCAGAATAATAAAAAGAAATATCTTAAGGAAAGCTTGACAGGAAAAAAAATTAATTTGGTTGAATATAAAGCTGTATTAGTTAATAATTTAATACTGTTCCTAACTGTTAAGACAAAGTCTGCCTTTCTGTTCCTACATTTTCTGTGTTAAGACAAAGGGTATCACAAAGGACGTCACAAAGGAACAACTGCTGTTCCAGTAAGGCTAAATTTAATGTTTTATGTACTGATTTGGAAAGAAAATTTATCTATTTTACTAAAACACAGTTTCATCCCCTAACTAAATGGTTTGAACTAAGAGAAAAATGAATATTCTATATTTATAAATACGGTGGGACAAATATTGTAACTTTTCATTTGAAGAAAAGATTATGTTTAAAAAAGAGTTTTCTTTCCATACCTTTGCTGCATTTTTGTACACATGTAACCTCCAAAACTTTGATATAGAAAAACCTGAAGCACTGAAAATCCTGGAGCCTTTCAGAGTCACACTGCTGTAGTTAGGATGAGGCCAATATACCATTACAAAACAGTTACCAACTTTAATTATACCCATATATACCGTCATGGTTATCAGCTTTTCATTTTACTGAAGAACCCAGGTGAAACTGCAGGTGGACTTGCCTTTGTGTTTAACAGTGGGGTTTTTTTTGTTTGCTGCAAGTAATAATCACAGCTGGAATGACTACTGAGTGTCTGCCAGTGCTAAGGTCTTAAAGGTTATACTGAAATTGTTTTCCTTTTGTGTTTTTTTTTTTTTTAAAGGCAACATAAACTTTCATTTCATTATAAATGGAAATAAATACAGTAGCATATGGCACTTTATGTATGTAGCTTGCACTGTAAGACCTGGAGAGACCTGATATGCTGTTTGTGGCTAAGGGTGCTCTGCAACTTTTCTTCTAAATAGACATAATTTGTCACAAAATAAATTACAGTTCTTCTGCAGATTTGTCAAATTTATACCGTGGGACTTGGTGTCAGCAAAACTACATACTAAAACCATTAAGAAAAAAAATAGAAAGGAACTGTAGACAGGAACTGTTTCATCATATGTACACACGTACTAACTATTCCAAGCTTAAGTTTCCCAAGAAATTAAGGTCAGTTGTAAAGTTTTGGTCACGGGATTACTTCAATCCAAATGCATTATCCAGACAGCTGTAGTTTATCTTATTATGCTTTGCTATCATCTTCTTTTGACTGGATGATGTCATTAGCAACTTTGATTTCTATGGTTTCTGGATTTAAAGCTTCTTTGCCATTTTCCTCCTTTAGTGGCAGTTTCCTATTGGAAAAAAGGAGGAATCACAATAAGACATAAATAACACAATCTGGAATTTATAACATATATGTGACTTGCACAGTTCACAGTGTTTCTAAAACCATAATGTCTTGAAAATAATGTATAATTATTTTATTATGAGCACCAGGGTTCTTTGCTTTTAAAGAAATCCATCTTAACCTTTTCTATTTCTACAAAGCCATGAAAAGCTAAATGTCACATGATAAGAACACTGCTGCTGCCAAAAATGCAGTTTCTTCAATAAGACAAAATTAAAAAGAGTGTCAAATAACTTGACACAAGCTGACCAAGACAGCACAGACATATGAGTTCCATAGGATACTGTGCAACACTTACAGTCCAGCTTTTTTCTGAATCTGGATTAAACTCTTTTTTAATGTCTGTTTGTTAATGTATATTCAGTTGTATACAAAAGAACACAGCTATCATTGGAGATTATACCAAGACATAGGTAAAGAACTTCTTATAGTGCATAGTTACTTAAATATTTCTACAATTTCATTTTCATAGATCACACAATATGGCTTCATTAATAACTTACCAATCTTCTAAGACTAACTCTGAGGATTTTTTTAATGCTTAATACCAATGGCAAAAGAGTCTCCACCCTTTTGAATGTGATTTCATTCAAAAAGGTCTTGAAAATTGTTGATTTCTTACTGCCAGTAATGAGCTGTCAAAAAATATAGCTGTCAAAAAGATGTATGGATTACTGAGATGTTCCTGTAATAATGTCTCCTGGGCATAATAGCTATTAATTGTGATTCCAGTTCAGGTTTGCATATGCCTTTTTTATTCATAATAACTGTTAAATCTTTCAGTAAATTTCCACTGTGATTGCTTTGATGTCCCAAAGAGCAATAAAACGTTCAAAACCTGTCTGAGGAATCCCTTAGGAATGTCTTGTAATAACAGTGTTTAATAACAGCAAATAAAACAAAACAATACCCAAATTCCCAGCTTTAAGAAATTTAAGCCACCTGCAATGAACTAAGAAAGATGCTGTTTATCTGGAGGTTAAACAGTGAGCACAACCTATATCTGAGAGAAACCAAAGAGAAGACTAACTTGTCCTAGTACAGTAAAATACGTGGGGTATATTATGAGCTGTCTGGCTCTGAGCACAGAGGGAGGTCTCTACTAATTGACTGTTTCCCATGGCACACCCAAAGGAAACAGATTTCAGCCCACAACAGGACGCCTGAGAGAATGGAAACAACAGAATCAACACAAATGTATTTTTAACAGAGGATAAAACACTGGGGCATAGGAGGTGCAGCTTGTGAGGTGCAGCTCAGGTGAGCAGGCACATGTGTCAAAGATCTGATAAACTAGTGTTAAAAAAAGGGGGAAAAAAAGATCTAATTTAACCTAGTTTTAATAAAGGCACAGTAATTTTTCAAAAGATGGTGCTGAAAGGGAGGAAATACTTAGTCAAACTAAAAACTGACCAAGGGACAGAATATAGTGCATGGAAATTTAAATAAATTGGTCAAAGTGAATTAAGACTGTGTTACAAATAATTTAAAATTATTTGAAATGGGAAGATTTGCTAGAACCTTATTGAAGGATACTGGGCATCACAAAAATCCATGTTCCATATCAATTTGTGATAAAATTAGCCTTGTTTTACATACAAATGAGGAACAACAACAACCACCAACTACAAACAAGTAAAAAATTTTAGTAATCAAAACTTTCCATGTATCGCTGCTTGACTATATTGTCTTCAAAAACTTGTGGTAATTTTTTTATATGATGTGATTTACCAGTGCAGTTATCATTAGACATTGTTCTTTTTGACTATGACAAAATTTTGAGGTTTTTTGGAATTTTTTTCTTCATTTCATTCAATTATTAATTCATATTTAATCTCTATTAAGAGATTAAATCATTTTTATCTTTCCATTAACTAAAGTTACACAAATTACACCAATTTTCATACATATATTTTTTCTTTAGTTACATCTATTTGAAATCATTTCATGTATTTCAGCTGGGTAAACTAATCCTTTCAAATCTTAAGCATTTTTATTATTTTTTTTCCTTTTGAGTAAAAAAAAAAAAAAAAGGACTCGAGAACTTTAAAAGGCTTTTTTGCTTTAATCAGATGCTGGCTGCAATCAATCATTAATAATATTGACTTCCTCTAGCACTGCATGTGGTCTAACTGCAATGGTCTGCTGACATTACCCATACAAAACTTTAACTAGAATATTTACTTTCCTATTTTAGAGAAAAAATGACTCCATTTTAATATTGGAATTCCCCCAACTTCATTAATACTAAGAAATATTCAACCAATACTGGAAACACAATAATGTCAGACTAGGAAGGTAATTATAGTCCCACACTGAATGTGGTATTTTAATCATATTACAGAAATGTGATATGAAATGCACAGCTTAAACTGATTTCCTGCCAGCATGATTAAAACTCGTTGACTTGCAGGTAAAAGTGTTTTGAGCTAATCTGGCACAGAAGGATTCCAAACCTGGCTTTGACAAGAATCACCTGAGATAAGGTAAAACATAGATTGGCAAATGATATTCTGAGTAATACAATGAAAATC